GGAAGCAATAGCCCCACCCACATGCATCCCTTTTCTCCCACCCTGTGGAGCTTAAGCTGAGCTGCTGAATACAACTGGAGGGTATTTCAGTGACAAAGCTTAACAGAAAGCTTTCAGGCCAAGGCAAATCTCTGGAAGCTCTGAGACTTCAGATAACCCTCCCCTGGAACTGGTGCTGGTAAAAGCCAGTCTTGATGTACAATCTGGTTCTTTCTGCACATACCCAGGTTCAGCAGAGGGAGCCATAAGCTATAGTAGAATGCTGATAACTCCAAACAGGTTGCCCAGGGCCAGTTACAGGCAGCAAATGACAGAGTCTGCACTAGAATCTTTGCAGATCTACTGAATACCTAGAAACAAACACTTCTGGAAATTTATCCAAAGAAACTGAAACAGTAATTCAAAAGAACATAAGCACCCCTATTTTCATTGCAGCATTATTTACCATTTCCAAGTTATGGAAGCAGCCCAAGTGCTATCAGTAGATAAATGGATAAAACAACTTTGGGACATTTACACAATGAAATACTATTGGACCATGAAAAAAAGAAGAAAATTTTATCCTTTGTAACAGCATGGATAGACCTGAAGGACATTAGGCTAAGTCAAGTCAGCTAGTCAGAGAAGGACAAATACCACATGATTTCACTCATATGTGGAATCTAATGAATAAACTGAACTAACAAGCAAAATTAGAGAAAGGCTTAGAGAGTAGACTGATAGCTCTGGAGGAGATGGCTATGGGGTGGAGGGATCAAGCAAAAAGGGAAAGAATGCATGGACATGGACAACAGTGTGGTGATTGTAGGGGGTGGGGAACATAAGGGGGCTAAATGGGAAGGAAAAAATACAATAAAAAAAAACAAAGAAAAAAAAAGAGGAACATTTGGGACTCCAGAAACCCTCCATCTCACTCAGCTACAATCATGGCTAGTTCTCACAGCCAGAAGTTATGGGAATTTCTTTTTTTGGCACTGGAAAATTTCCTGGGCTTGGGGGCCTAGTGTGGGGCTCGGACCCCTCATTCCTCAGCAGGGGACCTCTGCAGCTGAGATATACCTCCCAATTTTTGACTGCCACACATGGGTGTGGGACTAGCCTGTTACAAACTTCAAGCTGGAAAATTTGTTCTTACATACCCTGAACAACACTTGTAACATACTCTGAACAACACTTGTAATTCTCCAGCTTAAAAATTTTTTTTTTGCCAATTGGAGTATGTAGAGTGATATTCATTGTGCTTTAATATGCACTTCCTTGAATGATAATGATTTTAATATATTTTTACATATGATCTTTTTACTACAAAGCACCACCTATTTTCTAATCTTTGCCTGCTTTTTTCTTATTGAAGAAACTTTTGAATATATTTTTAAATTTAGAAAAATACATATATATCCTATATTTCAATTCTTTGTTTTTATATCTGTTGCAAATATTTTCTGATACTCCTTATTTTATCTTTGCAATTTTTATTTTATTTTTTTTATCCCCACCTGGGGACATTTTTTCATTGCCTCAAGAGAAAGAGGAAGGGAGAAAGAGAACACTGATGTGAGAGAGAAGCTTTGACTGGTTGCCTCCTGTACACACCTGGACTGAGTATCACACACATGCCCTGGACTGGGGATTGTACACACCCTAATGGGGAATCACACACATTCAGATTGGGGGTTAAACCTGAAACCTAGATATACGCCCTGATCAGGAATAGAACCTGCAAACTTCAGTTACCAGACAATTCTCCAGCCAACTGAGCCACACCAGCCAGGGCTATCTTCAATTTTTAAATGACACTTTTCATGTACAGAACTTTTAAATTTTAATTAAATTATAAATCTTTTCTTTAATGAGTAATTCTTCCATGACTAAAGTAAGCAATATTATTCTTTGTGTTAACTCTTATAAATGTTTTATCATTCAATTCATACGTGTCATGGAATTAATACTTGCATATACCAGTAATTTAAGGAAGGATTCCAGTTTTTCCTTGTATGGATACTCAATTATCCCAACACTATTTATTTCTAAAAATTATCCTTTCTTCTCACTGTTCTTCAGTGCCACTTCCCTGCTAAATCATGCCAATATATGATTGTTCATGGGTCTGTTTTCTGGACTTTTTTGTTCTTTTACCTGGATGTCTCTTTCTTTCTCTTTCTCATTCTACCACCAATATGGCACCATGTTAATCTTCTTTATAGTAAGTGTTGATATCATGCCTTAATTTCGTTTTTTGACTACGCCTTAGCTATTCTTAGCCCTTTACATTTCCATATAAATTTTATAATCATATTGTCAACTTCTAGAAAAAAATGTGTTGATTGTTCTGAACACACACACACACATATGTATGTATGTATCTCAGAATATTAACATATCTTCATCACTGAGTCTTCTGATCCAGGAACATAATTTTTCTTTAATTGATCTAAATAAAAATTTATAATTTTACCAGAAAAGGTTGTATACACATTTTATAACATTTATTTCTAGGTACTTGGATACTTTTATTTTATTTTATGAATTGCTGGTATGTAGAATAGAAACACAATAGATTTAAGTTCATTCATTTCTAAATATTAATTTATTAATTTATTTTTATCCTCAGTGAGGATATGTGTATTGATTTTTAGAGAGAGAGAGAGAGAGAGAGAGAGACATGGATGCAAAAGCGAAACATCAATTGGCTGTCATTTGTATGTACCCCAACCGGGGATGAAACCCTTTATGTAGGCATGTATCATGACAAGGAATCAAACTCGCAAACTTTTTGGTGTATGGGATGATGCTCCAACCAAGTGAGCCTCCTGGCTAGGGAAAATTTGTTCATTTTATATTCAGCAGAGTCATAAAATATTTTATGTTAGTAGTTTACCTGAAGATTATGTGGGATTTGCTACATACATTAACATTTTATTTCCAAAAAGGATAGGCTTATTTTGTCCTTCCCAATAACTACACAATTTATTTTATTTACCTGTTGTTCAGGCTGAGCTCTCCAATAAAAATGTTAAAACAGCATAAGTAAAGGTGGCTTGTTTTGTTCCTAATTATAAAGGGAAATATTTTGATGTTGTACAAGTAAGAATGCTTTGTGCTAGCTTTTATATACACACATGTCTCAAAATAGTAGGTCTCCTTTATTCCTTGTTTGCTAAGATTTTTTTATCAACATAAATAAATACTGAATTCTAGTAAGTCTTTTATTTTATTTTATCATGGTTCTATTACAGTTGCCCCAATTTTCTCAGGTTGCTCTCCACTGTCCCACCCACCACCTGTTCCCTCAGTCAGTCCCTACTCTGCATGTCACTTATACATGTTCTTTGACTATACCTTTCCTTGTTTATGTCCCTCCTCCCTCCTATCTGGTTACTGTCAGTCTATTCCTTGTTTCCATGCTTGTGGTTCTATTTTACTTGTTTGCTTGTTTTGTTGATTAGGTTCCTATTATAGGTGAGATCGTATGGTATTTGTCTTTTGCTGCCTGGTTTACTTCACTAAACATAATATTCTCTAGTTCCATCCATGCAGTCACAAAAGGTAGGAGTTATTTCTTTCTTTCTGCTGCAGTATGACATTTTCTCAAAAAACTAAAGATGGAACTGCCTTTTGATCCAAAGATTCCACTGCTGGAATTATACCCTAAGAATCCTGAAACATCAATTCAAAAGATCCTATGTACCCCTATGTTCACAGTAGCATTATTTACAATAGCCAAGTACTGGAAATAGCCCAAGTGCCCATCAGTAAATGAGTGGATCAAAAAACTGGTGAATTTATACAATGGAATACTACGTACCTCCTACTTGAGAGAAAGAAAGAGCTCCTACTTTTCACAATAGCATGAGAAGACCTGGAGAATATTATGCTAAGTGAAGTAAGCCAGACAGTGAAAGATAAATACCATATGATCTCACCTATAAGAGGAACCTACTGAATGAAACAAACAAAAGAGTAAAATAGAACCACAGGCATGGGAATAAGGAACAGACTGACAGTGACAAGAGGGAAGAAGGGAAGGGGATAAGGGGGGAAAGAAGGTGAAGAGACTAGTCAAAGAACATGTATGAATGACCCATAGACATGTACAACAGATTGGGGATTGACTGTAGAGGTGGGGTTGGAGGATGGAGCAGTTGAGAGCAAGGGGGAAAATGGGACAACTGTAATAGAACAATAAAATGTTCAATAAAATATATATTAAAAAATAGAAAAAAAAGGCTGAACTGAGAATTATTGAACTGGATGTCTTCCACCTCAGTGGAAAGTTAAGGTTTCACAACCAGTTCCCAGCTCTAAACTTACAGATACAGAGTACATTGATTAACAGTAAGGTCAGTTCCCTGAGAGCAGACATTTTGACGTTTTTCATCTCATGACACACATAAACTAATTCCTAAAATTCTATGGTGCACCAAAAAAATCTATTTTTTGCAGACCTGACAAAAAATAGGTATAATTTTGATTCATTCACATAATATGGCAATTGTTGTGTTGGCTGTCATATTTTTATTTGACAGTCTAAGGGAAAAGAGGTCAGTGCCCCTGACTAAATAGCCAGGTATTTCATGTTTTAAAAATTCTTGCTCTTGGCTGGTGTAGCTCAGTGGATTGAGCACGGGCTGGAAACCAAAGTGTCCCAGGTTCGATTCCCAGCCAGGGTACATGCCTGGGTTGCAGGCCATAATCTCCAGCAACCGCACATTGATGTTTCTCTCTCTCTCTCTCTATCTCCCTCCCTTCCCTCTCTAAAAATAAATAAATAGAATCTTAAAAAAAAGGTCTTATTTAAAAAAAAATTCCTGCAGCATACTGATTGAACACTGCTGACCTAGAGTAGTTCCTATAACTCCATCACAAATATATGCAGTAAATATTCCTCTAATCCTTTCTCAAAAGAACTTATGTCCATTTGCCAGGGTACTCATGCATTGGGGAAAGTTGAGGAAACGTCAGGACATTTCTTCTCAGGTGAAAGACAAAGTGTTGCTCACCACTTTAAAAAGTTTGATGAAGACTATACTTTCAGGAATCATTTCTATAGTTTGTTACTAGAGAAGTTTCTCTGAATGTGTAGAGCACCTGAAACCACACAAGGGGATGGAATGTTTTCTCCTGAGTGTGAAGTTGGCTCTTGGTGTTGCTTTGGTAACTGCTATTTGCTGTTGATAATCACTCTTCTCTCTCTTCTGAGGGAGTAAGTAGGAGCAGACACCCATCTGAGTGGTAAAAAAAAAAAGTTTTAATGGGTCTCTTTGAAATTAAAATTTGGAAGAAACAAATACCAAATTTAAAAACACTGCTCTGATTCATTTATTGGATAACTCTGGGTTCTCAGCAACTACAGGTCCTAGGTCCTGGAGACAGCAGTGGAGAAAATTCTTTCAGGAGTCAGAGCAATCTTCCTTTTAGGTGAAAGCTCTGATGACCACCTGAGTACTCTTTGTTCTTTGTAAGTGGCCCAAGAGGCAAAGAAAGGAGTGACTATCATGGTTGGGGTTATAACTGACAGTCAGAGACTAGGATTGCTTGTATGTAATGAGAGTAGGCTAGTGTCTGGAACCTAGAAGTAACTGTGGTTTCCCTAAACTGATACCCAATAGTAAATTTCAATGAGCACAGCCACCACCACCACCATCAACCTGGGGCTAAAGGTCTGGGTCATTTCACCAAGCAAACAGCCCAGACTACCTAAAGTCCTATCAGAGGGAAGGGGATCCAGCAGAGGACACTTTATCTCATTTTACTAACTCTTGCTGTAGGGTTCCAGATAAGGATTTACCACCAACTGGGACTCTTATCATACTTGTAAAGAATGAGAATGCCTTCATTCTAAATGGAGGAGACCTCATAGTGTAGTAAGGGTGTAAATAGTGGCGGGATGTGACCAGTACAAAGTATGGACTGAGTTGGGACACAAAACATGCATACCTTTTCAAATTCCCTCAACCACTTCCTTCTCTCCCCTAGTTGGCATCCCATCTGCACCAGGCTATCCCCACTTTAGGAGATGACTGAGGCATACATAGCAACTTCCTGGGTGCTAGATGATAGAAAGTGTAGATGCATAGCAGTTGATCTTGCACTGAGCTAGGACCTCAGAAATTATACTTAGAGTCAAGGTAAATAGGATGTAAACCTACACTCTCCCCTGCCAATTTCAGGGAAGGACAGAGAAGGCATCCTTGGTGTTGACCAGAACAGATGAGGCAGGTCTGGTGGGGAGCTGAGAACTGTGATCCTGATTCTGTACTAGATGGATTTGTACTATTGGAACACATACCTTGGATTGACCAAAGACCTTCAGACTGTGAATAGAGTGGGAGGCAGTTTCCATCATTAGGATCCTGTACCCCCATATGCCTGCAAACACTTGGCATCATCTAGATTTCTATATTTCCCCCCCACCTTTTTGGCCAGCCCAATAGTGTAGTGATATGTCTTTATTGTATTGTGATTACAATGATTTTGAGCATTTTATCCTATACTTTAGGGTTTGGTTTGGTTTCTTCTGTAAATTACATTTCCTGTTAGTTCTTTTGGAGCTGCTGGCAATGGCATGCCTTTTGATTTTGGTTATGGCGTCACTTGTACAAAGGATTTAAATTATGATACAGGCGAATTATTTTGTTAGGGGTCTTGTTTTGATATTACTTAACCCTGCTTTAAAAGTCTCTTTTCTAAATTTTTTTCTGTATAATTTTAAACTTATTTTTGTTTAGGTCCATTACTCATAAGAAATTTGTGTCCCTGGTATGAGGAAGGAACATGATTTTATTGCATTTGAATAGCTAGTCCTTCCAAAATCACTTACTGAAGCATTATTTTTTGATTCTGATTTGAAATGTCACCTATATTGTATACCAAATTTCCAACTAAACATGGATCTATTTCTTGATCCTCTATTCTGCTTGTCTTTTCATGCACTGATACTACTTTGTCTCAATGATTAAAGTTTAATTTTGTCTTCATAACTCACAGGGCAGGTCTATCCATCCTCTATCCTTTTGTTTCTTCAAGATTGTCATGGCTATGCTTCTACCTTTTACATATAAGATGTACATTTTATAATCACTTTTTCACATTCTATTTTAAAAACCTGTTGCAATTTTATTGGTATTGCTTTCAACTTATGGCCTCTTTAACATAGTAATTCTATGGATGAACATGGAATATCTCCTTATTTTTTAGAAAAGGTTTGTGTGTTTTCTCCATAAAATATTTTGTTAAAGGCAATCACAGGATATAGTTTCTGCTGTTATTTTGATGGGATACTTCTCCTATTACATTTCTAATTGCTGGTATACTTATTTTAATATGTAGATAACCAATTCAATCAAGAGGAATTTTGCTTACTAATTCTAATGATTTTCTCCACTTTTTAAAGATGGTACTGCTTAGAAATTATGATAAACGTACCTCTTTCTAATATTTTTAGAACTCAATTTGTTTTAAAAAAGTTTTATATTTATTAGCACCTCCAGGGTAATAATTATAATGGTGATGTCACCCTTACATTGTTACTAATGTCAGTGGAAATGTTCCTAATTATTAAGCATGTTTATTGTTTAAGATTCCCTTTATCAAGTTAAGAAAATTATCTTCTGTCTCTATTTTATTGAAATTTTGTTGTACTTAATCCACATATTTTAAATCCTGTGTGTATGTATTCAAGAGGACTCTTTATTTAATTTGAGTGACAATTTTTCTTTTTTTATTGTTGTTCAATTATAGTTGTCCCCATTTTCCCCCCATTACTTTCCCCTGCCCTACCCACGCCCTACCTCCCACGTTCAATCCTGTCCCCCACCCCATTGTCTTTGTCCATGGGTCCTTTATACATGTTCCTTGATAACCCTTCCCCTTCTTTCTCCTGTTATCCCCTTCCTCTTCCCCTATGGTTACTGTCAGTTTGTTCTTTTTTTCTTTCTCTGGTTATATTTTGCTCGCTTGTTTGTTTGTTGATTAGGTTCCACTTATAGGTGAGATCATATGGTATTTGTCTTTCACTGCCTGGCATATTTCACTTAGCATAATGTTTTCCAGATCTATCCATGCTGTAGTGAAGAGTAGGAGCTCCTTCTTTCTTTCTGCTGTACAGTATTCCATCGTGTAAATGTACCACAGTTTTTTGATCCACTCATTTACTGATGGGCACCAGGCTGTTTCCAGCACTTGGCTATTGTAAATAATGCTACTATGAACATAGGGGTGCATAGATTCTTTTAAACTGGTGTTTCAGGATTCTTAGGGTATAATCCCAGCGGTGGAATTGCCAGGTGAAAAGGCAGTTCCATTTTTAGTTTTTTGAGGAAATTCCATACTGTTTCAACAGTGGCTGCACCAGTCTGCATTCCCACCAACAGTGTACTTGGTCTCCCTTTTCTCCACAACCTCACTAGCACTTGTTTGTTGATTTGTTTATGGTGGCCATTCTGACTGGTGTGATGTGGTACATCATTGTGGTTTGAGTCTCTACTAATTCTTAACCTTAGAAGAAATTTGAGTTTATTTACTAAAAAGAACTAAGATTTTTCTGTATTAGGAATTTGCTTTAATAATTATCTTCAAACAACTACTGATTTAAAATTCAGAAAGTAGTTAATTTGTTATATAAATCTGTAATTTTTGAAATATTTCATTTGGGGCATTGTATTTCTTCATTGAAGATTGTAAGATGTTTGTCACAGAAGGTTGAAATTTATTCCAAACCTCATGACAAGTAACTGACAACTATGAGGTCAGTGATCTCACCATAAGTAAGCAAGATGGAATGTAAAATCTGTAAACCCTGTTCTCTTTGGTAGAACTTACTCTGGCAAGAAATAACACGAGCAATTCCAAAACATTAATTTTAAAACACAATGCAAAATTGCATTCTTTTGGACTTTTACAATCTTGCCTCGACTGACTCCTACTACCACCAGGGTCTGGCAAATGAATTCAGGATTGTGTGGGTGGGTTATGAATGGAGGCTGAGAACTAGGCTGCAAAGCTGTGTGTGGGCCCATCCCAGGCATCACTGGGCATCCCTGTGGGACTTTGGACAAAATATCTACATCTTTGCACCTCCATTTTATCTGGGCAATGTGGGTGATGTAAACCGTGGGTGGTAGTTTTGTACATTTAAAGGAGATCATGTAGATGATACATAGCATCTTTTTTATTTAAGAGGAAGAAACAAATTCTGACCAGTGACATTCAATGGGTCCCCCAATAATGAGGAGATAGCTGGGCTAAGATCCCAAGTCCCAGGAACATCCTTTCCAATGGTATCCCTAAAAAGGTACTGTTGGTAGGACAGAAGAGGCTGTCTTACAGGCAAAGTGAAGGAATCAGATGCAATTACTTGGCCCATCAGTGGGACACTACTCCTCTCCTATCCCGCCCTGTCAATGAACAAGTGATAACAGCTCTTGAAGGACAGGAAATTTACTGACCTTATTTCACATGTGGACTTAAAAGGATAGGTCAAAGGAAGAAGTGATGACTCAGCTCTGGTCCTTGAAATGAAAAACTATGTGAGGTAGGGATGTGGGCTCCTGAGGTGGGTACCAAACTCACCACCTGCATGGACATGATGATTATCTGGTGGTCCTGGAAGGCTGCTAGCCATAAACTGTGTATTATGAAGTACCAGCAGGATCACTTAGGAGCTGAGGCTCTTTGTGAGGTGAGGAGGGAGGCATCATGGTATCTGGTAGAACAAAATTTGTAATCTGTTGTATTCTTTGAAATAAAATACACATATTGTTATCTCCTTTTTTAAGTTTTTTAAAATTTTATTTATTTTTTTTTAGAAAGGAAAGGGAGGGAGATAGAGAGAGAGGGAGAAACATCAATGTGCGGTTGCTGGGGGTCATGGCCTGCAACCCAGGCATGTACCCTGACTGTGACACTTTGGTTCGCAGCCCGCACTCAACATATTGTTATCTCTTGATAGCAGCTACAGTATGGAGCAGACATGCCTCATCTAAGATGATGTGGTATACTGAAAAGAGCAATGGCTTCAGTTATACCAGCATTCAATCCTGACCCATGTATTTACTCCTTAAATCTGCCTTATTTACAGGGGACACTACGCATGTGGAAGTGACAGTATCTGGCAAGCAGTAATTATCTAGGGAATGAAGAGAATGAATAACCTTCCTTCTACACTTCCCTATTTATGGCAGGGTGATGTAAGAAATGACCACATGAGAACTGTGATATTTATGACATCTGGCAAAACCTATTATTGAAGATACAGTATTTTACACTGTATAGCATTCCTTGTTTTGAAAAAATCAATTTCATCACTTTCTAAGGAGTTTAGCACCAGGAAGAAAAAATTACCTCTTGAAAAATCCATGAGCTTTCTTGTATCAGACAAGGGATTATATTACACATCCTGTTTCCCCTTTTTCCTCAGCTGCCAGGAAGCTCAGAATAAAATCTATGGTCAAATGATGATAGCAGTCTGAGAGGTCGGGGGAAGAGGATAATGGTGGAAAGAAGGAGAAGGGACTAGTCAAAAAACATGTATGAATGACCCTTAGGCATGGACAACAGTGTGGGGATTGCCTGTAGGAGTGAGGGGTGGGGTGGGCAGAGTAGGGCAAAGAAGGAAAATTGGGACAACTGTAATAGAATAACAATAAAAAAAGTGAACACAATACTAAGGAAAAAATGCTAAGGACCATAGGGAATGCCTAACAAGAGTGATACGGGGTTTAAGACAGGGAAGTAATCATAGCCTAAATGCCCATCAGTAAATGAGTGGATCAAAAAACTGTGGTACATTTACACAAGGGAATACTACCCTTCTCAACACCATGGATAGAATTGGAGAGCATTATGCTAAGTGAAATATGCCAGGCAGTGAAAGACAAATACCACATAATCTCACCTATAAGTGGAACCTAAACAACAAAACAAACAATTGAGCAAAATATAACCAGAAACACGGAAATAAAGAACTGGTTACTGACAGTAACCAGAGGAGAGGAGGGAGGGGATAATGGGGCAAAGAAGGGGAAGGGTCATCAAGGAATTTGTATAAAGGACTCATGGACAAAGACAATGGGAGGGGAGGATCGAACATGGGAGGTGGAGTGTGGGTAGGGCAGGGGAGAGTAATAGGAGGAAAATGGGGACAACTGTAATTGTACAGCAATAAAAAAAAAGAAACTACCTCTGTAAAAATAAGTAAATCAATAAAAAATTTCAAAATTTAAAAAAATAATAAGAGACAGGAAAGGAGAGGGCTGTGGGTCTCATTTTCCTGCTGGACTAGAAGCTCCTTGATGAAAAGATAGTTGTGGTTTTTATTAATCTTTGTGTGCTCTGAGCACTGAGAACAGTGCCTTTGATACAGTAGTGGAAAGAGAAGTAGTAATGAATGGAAGCAGGAAGACAGGAGAGGTGAGACTGTAAGTTGACAGTAGTTAATGTCTGAATCTCAGGGCTATGCATTTGTTCAGTCACTGTATTCACTGAAGGGAAAGAAAAGGTACCACGAAGTAAACACAGGAGGAATCTGTGCTTCAGGCATCATATGCAATGGTGGTAACATGCAGACCTGCAGGTCCTGATGTGGAATCCTTACCCAGAATGTTTATTTCATCCTTGGACTTCTTAGCCCCTAGCTTGTAGATGATGACCACCAACTGCATGCCATTGTCATTTCTGTGCATCCCCACTAGTCTGGCTGCCTCATCAGAGTTCCAGCAGGCTCTGGAAGTCAACCAGATGAGAGAGAGGTAGAAACAGGAGGCTCATCTTCCAATGGGCACAGCAAAGAGTGCGTGTGGAACACCTGGTGTACACCACCACATGGTCTCATCACCGATGACAGAGGGACTCCTCCAACCCTGGAGTACTCTGAAAGCCCCTCCTGGTGGCTCTGGTAGCACTTGTAGCGGTACCCAGTCACAGAGGCTGGCCATGAGGGAGGCACACAGCCCGTGTGTTATTTCTGCTGTACCTTGTCCAAGTAACGATATTGTCTCATACTGTCAGCACCTCTTCATGCCCGACCTGGACACTCTCTCCTCAGTCTCACTGAAACTGTTGTCAAGCCAACAAATATCTGATGACACTCCACCGGGATGTTGCCCTGATAGCCAGGCAACTAACCCCTTCTGGCCTGTGGGCAACACAGCAGCCTGGAAAAAGCAGAGGCTCTGGGGAGAAGCTAACACCACCAATGCCTAGCTGGTGACCCTGAGTGGCCACAGACATGGTCCTGAATGAGAAGCCACCCTCCCAGATGCATTTGGCAAGACAAGACCCAGAACCTGTGACCTGTGCACACAAAGCCTGAACCCTGTGGCAAGGGACACAGCCAAGTACTGACCTTGGGGCCCAGGTCTGAGTTCTGGGTCAATGCAAACACCTACTGGCAGTCAGGAGAGCAGAACATACTAGCAGGTTGCTTCAGGAGCATGCTTACCCTGAACAGCAGTTGCAGCTGGGCCACCGTCAGTGTGTAGAGTGCTCCATCCACACAGGTCACCTGCAATGCAAACAGTGACCACCTGTGCCATCCTGTCCTTGCCCAAGGAGCAGGTGGCCACTGAATAACTCCTTCCTCACTGGCACAAAAATGCCACTTATTTTTAAGTCAAAAATGAATTTACTCAAACAATATGTAAATCTCTAGAGAAAATCCTCTCCTCCCTCCACACAGAAGGCAGGGGTGTGGCTGCCAGCACTCTTGCTATGCATCATTTTCAAATGCTATTTTGAAGCCTGCCTTTTCTGCTTCCAAATACTGTTTGGAAATCTTTCCACATCAGAGGACATTTTTCCATGACTTTTTACTTCTTCTCATTATGATGGAAGTTTAGGTTGTTTACAAATCTCATTACCATGGACAATCTTTGTGCAGGAAGGTCAAGGCTTCCTCCTGAGAGATCCATAGAACTGTTAGGTCAAAGGAATTATTAGGTCAAAGAATATCAGATTTATAACATCTAACAGGAAAAAAAAGCCTTTTTAAGTGGTTCCAATTGATATTCTTATTTTCCATGTATAAAAATAAAAATTTTTCATCTAACTTATAATACCAATTTTTAAAAATGTCTGCCCATCCAGTGATTGAAAAACCTCATTGTAATGTCACTTTTTTTATTACTAGCTGGGTTTCATACCTTTATATACTATTGGCTATTTGTACTTTTCTCTATGAATTGACTATTCATATCTTTACCTATGTTTCTACCACATTTCTATGCTTCAAATAATTTGATATTAATGCTTTGTTAAATAAGATACAGTGATTTCTCCTGATTTTCCATGTGTCTCAATTTTATAAAACTCTGTAGTTCACAAGTTTTTAATTTTTAGGTAAATCAAATCTGTGTATTTATTTAGTTCCAGGTTTTGCCTTGTCTACCAAGCCTGTGCACATCCCAGACTGATTTTTAAAACTACTTACATATTCCTCAGATAATTTTATTACCATCTTTTACGTTTAGTTTTTAATTATTCTAAATGTACTTCTACAACTGGAGTGAAGTGGAAGCAGCTTAGTTTCTCTCTCTGAATGGGCAAGTCCTCCATTTCTTGAATAGCTTGTCCTTTACCTAGGGTTTTAAAAGATCATTTTTCCACAGACATTTGCACATGGAACATAGCCTGGACTTTCTGTTCAACTTATATAAAAACATGTGTTCTGACTGTCCAAAAAACATAAAAATTTCAGAACACAGAGAAAATGGCAACATTTAAACAAGGCTATGAAAACAAAAAGTGAGAAACAACACATTTTAACTGGTAAAACAATCCTACCAAAGGACAGCCAGGAATTGGAGGTCTGTAGCCATTTTGACCTGAGTTAAATATCATGAAATAAGAATATAAGGGATATCCTGAGTCAGAAATTCAACACTCAGAATGGAAATGGACAAAAAAACCAAGATACGAAATAAGAATTAAATTAAATCAGGAATGATACTGATTAAAAAGTTATCTCAAAAATGAAGGTAACAATAAACCTAAGAGAGAAAATATTCTGCTGAACAAATAAGAGCACTAAAAGAGGAGAAAGAAAAAAGACAGAACAAAAGTGGAATGAAAGGCTAAAAAGAATCAAAGTATCTGAGAAGATAGGCAAAGAAGATCTAATAAACATGAATGAAGTTCCCACAGAGGAAAAATTAACAGATTAATTTTTAAAACTCATATACAGTGAACTTTCTAGAAATAAAAGAAATCTATGTAATGAATCTATGTAATGAAAGGGTTCCTGTGTTCTATGAAAAGCTGACCCAGGATAATCACTGCAGACATGTCAAAATAAAACTACTAGACTTCCAATATTTCAAAATATCTTTAAGGCCTTTGATTTAAAAATCCAAGTGTCTAACAAGGAAAGTCAGGGTACAGTAGACTTTTCAACAGAAACATAAACAGTGAAATAATGTTTTCACAAAATTCAAGGGGAGTGTGAGCAGGGATTTGGTGCCCAGCCACGACATCCTTGAGCATTAAGGCTACGGAAAAGTGGTCTAAAATGTGGTGCCTCGCCTACTCCTGGGATATCAAATAGTAGATTTTTCATAGATCCTTTATGGCCCTTCTACTCAAAGGGTGGTCTGTGGACTCTGTGGACTGGCAGCATCAATTTTCCCAAGAAGCTAGTTTAAAAGTCAGGATCTCAGGCATCCCCAGAGACCCACTGAATCAGAATCTGCCTTTACACAAGAGCCACAGATGACTGGTGTCCTATTAATGTCTCAGAAGCACTGGTCCATGTCTCTTACCATCTCTCCTGCATTTACCACTCTTAATATCCCTGTTCTGTTATAAATAATTTCTTTCATCTTTCAGTTCACTAATTCTCTTCTATATTCTAACTTTTAAAAAAATATATTTAATTGATTATGTTATTACAGTTGCCCCATTTTTCCCCCTTTATTCCCCTCTGCCCTGCACTGCCCCTCCCACCAGCATTCCCCCGCCTTAGCTCATGTCCATGGGTCATACATATAAGTTCTTTGGCTTTTCCATTTCCCATACTATTCTTAACCTCTCCATGTCTATTTTTACCTACCATTTATGCTCCTTATTCCCTGTACCTTTTCCCCCTGTCTCCCTCTCCATCTCCCCCGCTGATAACCCTCCATGCGATTTCCATTTCTGTGATTCTGTTCCTGTTCTAATTGTTTGCTTAGTTTGTTATTTTTTAGGTTCAGTTGTTGATAGTTGTGATTTTGTTGTCATTTTACTATTGATAGCGTTTATACTCTTCTTTTTCTTAGATAAGTCCCTTTAACATTTCATATAATAAGGACTTGGTGATGATGAACTCCTCTTGACCTCATCTGAAAAGCACTTTATCTGCCCTTCCATTATAAATGATAGTTTTGCTTGATAGAGTAATCTTCGAGGTAAGTCCTTGCCTTTCATGACTTGGAATACTTCTTTCCAGTCCCTCCTTGCCTGTAAGGTATCTTTTGAGAAATCAGCTGACAGTCTAATGGGAACTCCTTTATAGGTAATTGTCTCTTTTTCTCTTGCTGCTTTTAAGATTCTCTCCTATCTTTAATTTTGGCTAATGTGATTATGATGTGCCTTGGTGTGTTTCTCCTTGGGTATAACTTGTTTGGGATTCTCTGAGCTTCCTGAACTTCCTAAAAGTCTATTTCCTTTGCCAGATTGGGGACGTTCTCTTTCATTATTTTTTCAAATAAGTTTTCAATTTCTTGGTCTTCCTCTTCTTTTTCTGGCACCCCTATGATTTCAATGTTGGAATGTTTAAAGACGTCCTGTAGGTTCCTAAGCCTCTCCTCATTTTTTTTGAATCCTTATTTCTTCATTCTGTTCTGGTTGAATGTTTCTTTCTTCTTTCTGCTCCAAACTTTTGGCTTCAGTTCCAGTTTCCTTCACCTCACTGTTGATTCCCTGTAGATTTTTCTTTATTTCACATATTGCAACCTTCGTTGCTGCCTGGGTCTTTTTTATGCTGTTGAAGTACCCAGTGAGTTCCTGGAGCACCCTGATTACCAGTGTTTTGAACTGTGCATCTGATACATTGGCTATCTCTTCATTGCTTACTTGTATTTTTTCTGGAGCTTTGAACTGTTCTTTCATTTGGGCCATTTTTTTTGTGTCAGTGTGCCTGCTACGTAGTAAGGGGCAGAGCATTTGGTACTTGCCAGGGTGGGGAAACCCATGTGGCTGCGTTGTGATGCTGTATGTGGGGGAAGGGTCTGAGAGGGAACAGTGCCATTTGCTGTGCTCTCTGCAGGCTTTCAGTCACTTCCCCCCACTTCCCACAATCAAATTGGGTCCTTCTGGTGCTGACTCCCAGGTGGGTAGGTTTATGTAAGTTCTAGGACCCTGTGGGTCTCTCCAAAGAACTCCCTTGTGAGGCTGGGAGTTTCTCCTACCACCTCAACCCCCACAGGTGTTTTCAGGCAGAGGCTTTGAGGCTTTATTTCCCCTTGCTGGAACCCTGGGTTGTGTGGTCTGTCTTACTCCCCAGTTGTCCCTTCCAGTTTATCTGCACATGAATGTGGGACCACCCAGTCTGCAATCCACTGCCTCACCAGGTCTGTTGGCTGCTGCCCTGCCTGCCCCAGTCCTCCATCTACTGCTTTGCTGTGAGCCTTCTCCACCCGGCTACCTGTCTCTGCCCCTCCTACCAGTCTGGATGAATGTTTCTTCTTTAACTCCTTGGTTGTCAGACTTCCATACAGTTTGCTTTTCAGTCAGTTCTGGTTGATTTTTGTTTTTAAATTTGTTTTTGTCCTTCTTTTTGTTGTGCAAGGAGGCACAGTGTGTCTACCTATGCCTCATCTTGGCAAGAAGTCCAGTTCTAGAATTTCTACTGGGTTCATTTCTAAATCCAGTATCATTTTTTATAGCTTCTTTAAAGTGTTTATTGAATTTATTTGGGTGATATTGGTTAATAAAATTATATAAGTTTCAAGTGTACAATTATATAATACATCATCTGTATGTTTTATTGTGTATTGATAACCCAAGGTTAAGTCTCCTTCCATCCCCTTTTTACCTTCTTCTACCTCATCCTACCCCCTTTTTCCTCTTGTAGTCACCACACTGTGAGTTGTCTGTGTCTATGTCATTTTTTTGCAGCTTTAAGTTCTCTGCTGAAATTTGTCTCCCTGATCACAGCAATCATTGGTGTATTCATGTCTGTGTCTAATAACTATACTGTCTGAAGTCTCTGTGGCTCTTTTAACATCATATACTGTTTATTCTCCCAGTTCTAGCTGGTATTATTCTTATCCCTTCATGTGCCTAGTTAGCTTGAAGGGTGTGTTGAATACTGTATTTGAAAACAGAAAGTTTTTAATTCTTTTATTATTATTATTATTATTATCATTTTATTGTATTTTTCTATAAATTTTTTATCCCTCTTGCCCCCTCAATCACCACACTGTCTTCCATGTCCATAAGTCCTTCTTCCTTGATCCCTCTACCTCCTAAACTCTCCACCAAGAGCTGTAGGCCTGCTCTCTTTCTATGTGTCTGTCTCTATTTTGCT